TAGTTGATGAGCTTCTTTTGGATTTTGTTCCTCATTGATGTTAGAGCTAACAAATGTTGGATCATAAAATCGTAAGACTTCTTCAAGTTCTGAGATTTTTTCTTGTTCTTCCTCACTGTCAGTGTCACCGCCTTCCTAAAATTTATATTTAAACATTTTATTTATACTCAAAATCTATTTATACAATTTTTTACTTATTATTAACATTATTTTGATAATATTATTCATTTTTTAATTAATTATATTTTATTTAGTATGCTAAATTGCTACCAGTATGTATTTGCATACCTATGGGCTAACTTAGTTTGGTTAATATAAAAGATTGAGCTATTAAGTCATAAATATGTGTCAAAATACTTGGATTTAAAGTAAATATTATTTTTATTAAATCAGAAAGATGACTAAATCAATCAACTTAAAATAATTGTATGTAATAGATTTTGCCAACAAAACTAGATTGAGCTTTAAATAATTGAATATTATTTATATTTGTTGATACTGCAAAAATACTCCCAAAACAATATTACATTATTTCAATAAATTTTTTTTTAAATTATCAGGTTAAATCTTTTGTTTATAACCAACCTTCCACTCTAATAAGGGAGTTAATTTTGAAATATCTACTGAAATACTTAAATAATACATTTTGTAGGAGAGTGTCTAAAGAGGAGTCTATCCAATGATAATTTGAATCAGTTTCAAATAAATAGTATATATAATAGTATAAACTAAAAATTAGCATAAAAAAGAAAAACAGTTTAAACAAAATAAAGTGAACAATATATAACAATATATAACAATAATAACATACTTTATTTATAACTTTGTAAACATCCCAGTCTTCATCTCTGCTACCAAAATCATCATCTCTTTTATCTTTTCTTGCTAATTGGCTAATTAATCGCATGCGCTCTAAAGATGCAGCAGTTCCTCTCTTAGCCATATCTTGTCTACGCTGTTTTCTAACAGCTTTTTTATCAATTATATCTTGTCTTTTTTTATATATATCATTAAGCCAAATTTTTGATATAGATTCCTCTTTTGGTAGTTGAATTTTGTTTTTAAAAAGTCTTAATTTAGGCTCCTCCGTTACGTGTTCTTCGACATTGGTAGCATTATGAGAAGCAGCTGCAATTTTTGATTTTGCCCTATCAATTCTAGTTTGAAGATCAGTAATTAGTTTTCTTAAATCCTTTTCATTTTTTAATCCATGAGATCGTAATACTTCCTGAAAATATAACGATTAAACTTGTAATAAATATAGTATTTAATTTGGTTTTAGAAATAAAGGTAGTAGTGATATTTGTGGATTACTAGGCCAGACAAGATAAACTTAGTTTTATATTGTGTACCTTAAATCCAGCAAGGTCACTCGGTTGCTACGAGAGTTTAAATTGAAACTAACCATACATTTAGTATACAAAACCAACACAGGTAGGTCATCGGTTAAAATAAATTTTTTTGTCAGTTCAATACCATGAAATTGGTGCTAAGGAATTTTCTAATAGGTCACGCACAACACCGGAAAATTCCCAGGTCACAAATTATGACACAATTGCCAATATTCAGCCATAATAAACTAACTCTTCACTAGAGTAAAAAATTATTTTGTGCAAATGTAATTCTTGTAGCTCAGGTTTTTAATGAACTTTAGCTTAAATAATTTCTCTAAAATATTTAATTTTTTTTCTACTCTTCTATACAAAACTTGTTTAACTATTTAGCCGTTTACTTTGGGCTACTCACACTAAAACTTTAACAGTATCTCTCAAATGAAAACTTAATAATTTAAGATATTCTTCATTCAAGCATCCTTTAATCTTTTTGTACTTGCTTTTGTATCAACTATAAATTATAAAATATTCTACAGCTATCAATATTTGAGACCAAGTCCTGTTTTCAGAAAATGGCCCCAAGTTGTTCATATATCCCAGCTTTACCACTAATAGCATACAAATGCACAGCATAAAGTTACACGTTTACTACCACACCTATATTTCTAATATGGTGTCACACGCCTTGTACCTACAGATAACATATGCGGGACTATAAAAGTATTTGAAAAAACGAGGGAAACAAAAGCCGACTGAAAAGAATTTTCTGTTAATATGTTCAGAATGGTCTTATAAATAATAAAGAAGTGCCTCTTTAGCCAAATTATTATAGGCGTGTATTTTCAATATGCACTAGTGACAATCACGGATTGGCAGTAGCCCGAAAGGCTCTACTACTAAAGCTAAGACCACGATTGGCAGCGGAGGTGAACGTGTTAATAACAAAGAGACACAAAACTGTTCACATGACCTCAAAACAATACAAAAAAAAGTTGATGAATATTTACTCTAACTTCTTCGATAGGTTCTCCATCTTCAATCATTTCTCGTATCAATAATAATTGATGGAGTTGTTCTTCATCTTCTGCTAACTGAATAACATTTTCAAATTTTTGATTATATTTTTAATTTATACTTATAAATATTAGTTATGTGAACTAGCTATCCTTACTTTTTCATCTCTTTTTCTAGCATTCATCTCTACTAGTTTTTTAGCCATTTCTCTTCTTTTGTCTCGTTGTTGATCTGGTGTTAAAACAACAGCCATAGAATAGGGAAGCTGTATTCTTTTCACATTGCGATCATAATACTCTGGATCTGACCATTGTTTTAATACATCAGTATAATGAACCGCCAAAAACCCGTGTTCATAAAGCAACTCCTTAAATATTATTTCAATGGTACTCAATCAAAATTAAAGTAATCATTTAATGTTAAATTATAATACACATTTTTATAAGATACCTCAGCTCGGCTTGGTGTTATAGCATTATAATGTGCTGGGTATTTAAGCTGTAGAAGTTTATGCAAGTAATAAGTAATATGATATCCACCGACATCAATTCGACGACTATTAATTAAGTCAGGAGTACCTTTGATTACAGGTATAATATGTGTTGTATGATGGCCGCAATTCACAACTAGTCCTGTTTTTTCATTATGACCATTATGTTGGTAACTAAATAGACCATCTATTCCATAACAAATGCCAGGAACATGGTAGCATTCAAACAATAGTTCTGACATTACTGAAAAACAATATTAAAATGTTCAATATAAACACAAACTGAAGCAATTAAAAAATTTACATAACCGAGAATAATTAGGGTTGGCAACTGGTTCCGTTAGTATTATTGGATGGTTTATGCTACCGTTACTGTCAATGCCCAAATGTGAAAAAGTGTAGTCAAAAATCTGTTCTTGGACATTAAATTGTGTGATTACATTACGATCAAATTGTGATTTCAACTGAAATCTGACTGCTTCTATGTTTGGTATATCATTTCCTATTAATGTCTCGCCATCCTAAACACACATTTTAAATAAATTAAAAACCTGTTCTAGACATGAATTTTTTAATTCGTTACTTTTTTTCCACGTTCTTTTCTTGGGCGAGCTAAAATATTTTTAAATATGAGATTTGGAACACTAGACGTTGCCCAACCAGCTTTACAAGTAAATGAACCTGTTAAAATAAACGGATGTTATTTACAAGCAAACAGTTCTGATTAATTGTAAATTTGTATGATTAATATAACTACCATTATCTATGACTATCGCAGTTTTGGAATTTCGTAAGGTTTGTGTGTAATCGTAATATTTATCTGGAACTAGTTTGAGATCCTTAAGTATAATGACTTCTTCTGCCATATCAAATAAATAGCGAGGTAAGCATTAATTATTTAATGTGATTTAAATTTAAAATATGAAACAAATATGTTCAAGGTAGAATCCTAATTTAATAATTCACATTTTCTAAATAATATTGTACAAAATGTAATAAATAATTATTAATTTTTAATGATTTATAAGTGACGACTTCACCGGTTTTCATGAAAATAATTTAAAATTGTTATCTTACCAAAAATAATATGATAATGATAATTACAGTGTCAGCAACATTTCAAAATATTGTTTGCTATTTTGTTGTAATGATCACGATTGTTCTATATTAAACACAAATATATATATTATATATCACTGATGAACGTCCGTGTTATATATAAATATTTTTTGGTATTAATATTAAGCCAATGTTCGATGATTAAACTATTGGCAGGAGGTGGCAGGTTATGGAAAAGGAGTACGATTAAGGTCTTAAGGATACCTACTTTAATCGTGATTCGTGATCCTGATATGGATAAACATTTTCAGAAATTCGTAGAATATAAACAAAGATTTGAAAAATGGTGGGACACTGGGACTTTTCTAAGTATCCACCAAACCGTAATAAACAATTTTTGATGGTTCAAATACGGGTTGGTCGGATTGGCTGGGTTAGTGGGAACCACGATTAAAGATATACCTAAAGATATATCTTTAATCGTGGTGGGAACTTGTTTAATGCCGTAATTTACTTATTGTGACTAAACACAGATAACACAGATTGTAAATATAATTTATATTTTAATAAAAAAAAAAAACTATGAAAAGTACTGGGAACTTTTTTACTTTTGATTGACACCTAAAGTACCAACTAGATTCACATACCAGAAAAAATATAAAAGTTGAAAATCTAGATATTTTTACTGCTTCAAAAGGTGATGGCTAACAAATAAAAACTATCAGCTCAGAATCTTAAAGTATATGATACACGATCACAATTCAGTGTCAATGAATTCCCACAGTTTGATATATGATGCAAGATTTAAAAAAATGCTATTTGTTAAAGTGATTATAATAGCACAATAAGCAAATATAATGATGCATACACATTTAACTGAATAAATAAAAATAACTGTAACATTTGATAATTGATTGATTGATTTGATTTTAATGTCAGAGTAGTTTGGAATTAGATACAAAACAAGGTGTGGAGGTTATCACACAGAAAAAAATCGTCTGGAATGCTTGATAGTGTGAATTAAGGACGACGAAACACAATCCTGAATTTGGATTGCAGATGCCCCAATGGGTCCAATTTTTATTAAATAAAATACCATTTCATTTAGATAAAAAAATAAGAAACTTTACTTTTCAACATGTTAACAAATAGTTTATGGTAGTTAACTAAACTGCAATTATTATTTAAATATTTAATTTAAAAAGAAATTTATTTTGTTCATTTTGTAATACAAATCCCTGTTTTTTCAGATTATGACACTGCAAGACTAAATGAGGCATATTAGTAATGTCCACCCAGCAATCTTCTTCATCTTCATCATTACATTCCACTAGTAACTTTAAACATATCAATGCATTATAAATATTAAATAACAAACAAATATTTATTATTATTTATATGGTATTTAGCATTAATGTAAAATTATGTTTAATGTTTTATGAACTTACACTTAATATTTCTTTCAATGTAGATGAAGGATCGACTTGTGATAACAGCATATACTAAAAATAAAAATTAATATTGTTAGTCAGTCAGAATTATATATTATATAGTGTGTTTCTTTTGAAAGGTAACACCAATATTTTTAAAGTAATTTCCCCACATTTTAACTATATCTTTATGTCCAACATTTACTGAATGACAAGTTAAATTTAAATTATTGATTTTTTTTTGATCAAAAAAGAAGTTATAAGTCATAATTTGGTAAATTTGAGTTTTAGAACCATATGGTTAAAAGATCAAAATAAGTTTAAAACAATACAAATTGTAGTACATGCATAAACATTTTCGAATTATAAAAAAATGAGTATTTCAGTATTTTCTAGCTCTTTGCTGAATCTGAGTTCACTGGACAGAAATATTTTGTATTAGGTACCTTAATAAAAAAAAACACATTGTTTATTATCACAGAATATAATATAGAGCAAAAAGATCTTAGTCTGTGATAATAATTAATTATAAGACCTGAGATATTATATTCTCAATCAGAATTAAAATTAATTTACCATATCAGATTTGCATTCCTTAAATTCTCGAGCAACCTCAATTTCTATTTCTGTACTTATAGTATTTTGAGCTTCAATTTTTTCTATTTCTTGCTGGAAATCCTTCATAAATATTGATAAATTGTTGAACCTATGTACAATAGTTTTATTAAAAAAATATTGAATTACGCACTGATGCACTTTTTGAAAATATAATATAATATTACGTATACAATATTTAAATTACCGATCAGTATGTTTGATAATATTATCATTATCTTGTTTGATGTTATTCAGAAGTAGTTTACATTCTGAAGATACTTTTTCATATGTTTTTAAAAGTTTTACTGAACTTAAAGATTGGAAATTAGGATAATCTTTAAAAAATACCATATAATTATTAAATTAAGACAGGCACAAATAAATTCAAAAGCATTTAAAAATGTTGATATAATTACTTAAAGGTTTTGTCTCTTTCAATAAAAGAGTAATGCCATTAATTATGTTTTTTTTAACTTTCAGTACTTCTTGGTGTGTGGATGGATCAGCTGGATTTTTAACAAGGTTCATACATTGATATAACTGACTCACCCTTGCAGCCATAACTCTTACTTGATCTTTAAATTTGTTTAGCACATCGAAAAGTGTAAAGTTGTCAGTTAATACAGTAGTACTGTCCAGACATTCAATTTGTGATTGAAGAATGTTTTTGGTCAAACTACGACTCTGTATGAAAACAAATTAGTTTTACTATTTAGATTTCACATACAAAGTTTCTCATACTATATTAATGCCCATTTGCAAATACATAGTGATTAATTTTTTTTTGCGAGCAACATATTCCGATGAACCAAATTTATCCAAGATTATTTTTTTAATGGAAGTTATAATTGCAATAACACACAATTTATAGTAAAAATACTATTACCCGGGTAATTTACGGGACAGGAAAACAAAATATAAATGGAAGTGACCACAGTCAGCCTCGTTTATGTATATACTAATATAAAAATGGTACAATTGAACTCACCTCGTCTTCGTAATTTGAGTTGGAGACGTTAGAATCCGACATTTTTCTCAAAATTGTTGTATAATATAGTACAATAGTATAATTATATACCAATTAGATATATTACAGCAGAAGCCCCAAATTAATAATGTAAGTACTGAAATAAATGGCTGTTAAGTCGTTAAATGTTTATTATTTTTTAGTGATAAGAAATCGAGGGAATAGTTATCAAAATGTTTTCTAAGCAATCCAGCCAGTCGTTAAATTATCCTGCTTTCTTATTTGTTCAATCATCCGAGTTTCATCATAGAACAACGCTATTCTATATACCATCATCCAACTATCCAAGATCCAACAATAATAATTTAAATAAAATATATAGGTAGGATTGCATTCTAATGAATTTTAATCTTGTATTCTTGTAACTTATGTATCATATATATTATATGCAATACTTATCATGCTTTGATATAAGCGACCAATGAGTGGCAGAAAACTCAATATACGGTTAAAGTGGGAGAATATGCGTATCACCATGTTGCTAAGTAGCCGTGATGCTGACATATCTATAATACAGAATAGATTAATATTTAATACTACCCTAGTATCCTAGGACATAAATAAATGATACAATGTCATGATGTACTATGCACCCGATTCTGACATTGGTATAGCAGTATAGCACTGGCAGCTCATAGAATTTACTATTAGGTTATTTAATTGACTACATTATTTGACAAGGTTAAAAATAGTAAAAAAATATTCACGTACTATGTATTGTCGCTTTGTTAGAACTTAAAAGTTATAAAAAAAAATAAAATTGATTATAGGTATTCAAATTTCAAATGACAGTTATAAATAATAATTGATAATTGATATTATTGTTATTTGGAGGGAGGTAATCCAGTCTATCCCACAAAGTAATAATATGTATTCTATGGTCTATTCACGTTTGTTTCTGTGGCCAACCTGGAAGCTGCAGCTGATTTTTTCTTTTTAGTTTTCACCTCGGCAAAGTTCAAGAATCGAATCGAGTCACTTAGCCTATTTTCCGGCGTTGGGCAACTCCTTCATTTTCGCGTGGTTGCTGCTGTCAAAATCTACATTACAGCCTTTTGACTCTTGACCAAATATCAAACTAATCATTATGTATTCTCCATTCCATCAGCTCAGAAAACCTGTAAGTCAACAGAACGCCCTGGAAAATGTATCCGAATTCCCAGCTCATCTTGTGCCAGGTACATTTTGAATTTATACTCATTACGACCGATATCTTTAGGATCGAATCGCAATTCAAACTTTTACAAGAAAATCGTTTTTAATAGGCGATGCCTTAAATTTGTTTTATTATTTATTCGACTATTTTGGATTGCAGGTAGGACTATCGCCGCAGCCGCAGTTAATGAAGATAGCTGCGAGTTTGGGTCACCTAAATACTTTGCCCTGTGTGGGCTCGGTGGTATTATCTCATGTGGTCTGACACATACATTGGTCACACCCTTGGATTTAGTAAAATGCCGTCTTCAGGTGAACCCTGCCAAATACAAGAACCTCATCAATGGTTTCAAAGTCACAATGGCCGATGAAGGCGCTCGAGGATTAGCTAAAGGCTGGGCTCCGACTGCTATTGGTTATTCCATTCAAGGTCTTGGTAAATTCGGTTTATATGAATATTTCAAAATTTTGTATGCCGACTTGTTGGGAGAAGAAAATGCGTATTACTGGCGTACATCTCTTTACCTCGCTGCCTCTGCATCCGCTGAACTTTTTGCCGACATTGGTCTTGTTCCTCTTGAATCAATCAAAGTCAAAATCCAAACTACTCCTGGTTTTGCAAATACTTTACGTGAAGCGGTTCCCAAAATGTTACAGCAAGAAGGTGTATCTGCTTTCTTCAAGAGCTTAGTACCTTTATGGATGAGGCAAATTCCTTATACCATGATGAAGTTTGCCTGTTTTGAAAGAACAGTTGAATTAATTTATGCTCATGTTGTTCCCAAACCAAGAGCCGATTGCAGTAAAGGAGAACAATTGGTCGTAACATTTGCTGCCGGGTACATTGCAGGAGTTTTCTGTGCTGTTGTATCTCATCCAGCTGATACATTGGTGTCAAAATTGAACCAAGAAAAAGGAGCATCTTCCGTTGATGTGTTGAAAAAAATTGGGTTTGGAGGTTTATGGAAAGGTTTAGGCCCAAGAATTATCATGATTGGTACCTTGACAGCTTTACAATGGTTTATCTATGATTCTGTGAAAGTAGCTTTGAGCATTCCTCGACCACTTCCACCAGCACCACCAAAGGCAAAGAGTGAATAAACAGTAGCTACTTCAATTATTTAATCAATTCAGAACCGTGTCAGTCTTACTTAAATTAAATGTAAATTATCTGCACCTATTAATCTTTGAGGTGCATTCATCATCAAATTACAGTGCTTTTAGTTTTGTTTTACATTTACACTAGATGCTTATTTCATTCCAAATGATCAATACCTCAATCACGTGTATATTTAGAATACAAAATGTTAGAGTGCTTTATCACTACTGTAAAAATATGTTTGTTTAATGTTAATATCTTAATAAAGTTACTATGTATGTTCTGAATTGTTTTTAATTTTTTTTTTTTATATTACATTTTTATGATTTAATAACAAAAATCTATTTATTTAGTGATATGATGTTGGTAAGTGTTATATTCTTGATTGTTATGAGTGTTAAATATAGATAAAAATACTTGGCACACATTAAATATTCTATTATTATTCATTATGTAGTTTGATAAATTACTTTTTTTCCATTTAATCGGAAGTGTTAAAAAATGGTAACCTTATACCATACATTTACGAATATGTATTTAGTTCAGTTTAACCTCTTCCCATGGTCACTAATGATGATTATTTATTATCTTAACACATAGGTATTTGAATCATGTTATTTTTTTTTCTTGTGCAATCATGATGAATAATATCATACAGGCGATATGAACTCATTGATTAGTAATATTGCAGAGCTTTAATTATTTAGTTAAATTATATGACCACTCACAATCACAATAATAACATACCAGGATTGTATTTAACATATGGCACATTAGGCCTTTGCCCTCCCCCCCAAATTTACCATAAAATATTATACTTAAAGAATAACCTATCTTACTAATTTAATGTTATGTTTCTATCGAACACATGTATTTTGGTTAATTGGTTATAACTTATAAATTATGATATGACTATATGAGTTAAAACTAGAGCCCGGATTTTTATGCAAAACAAAATTTATTGTGTTAAAAAACCAAACATTTAAAACAAAATTGTTTTAAGTGAAAAAAATGCAATTTAATTATTAGTATTTAAATGTGTGTTAATTATTAAATGAGTACCAAAATGATGTTACAAAATGTGCTTTTGAATTATCTAATAGAAAACTTCTATGATTGTATCGTAGCATCACCTTGTAGTTGAAATTTCCACGTCTGCTGACACAATGGGAGCTTATTTAAAACATGAAATATTTTCTGGTACCAAATCTGCAAGGTCTTCATCATCGTTTCTTATTTCTCCTCTCATAATTCCAGACATTTTTTTATTTATGATAATACTTCCGATAGTTTAACTTAGCAAATTCAATACCTCGTCCTCCGTCACTCAAATTATTTTCTACATTTTGAACCAATTCCAACTTTTTTCTAGATTAACACCCGATTTAGCTAGACACGTGATGATGTCTGTTATGCATTGGAAATTTGATAGAATAATCAAGTTCATTTTTGATCGGGTTATAATTAAATTAATGTGCATTTTGAATAAACTTTGCATAATTTGTGTCAAATAATGTCCGCAATCGACATGTTTATCAAACTGTAAATTTTAAAATATTCTATGAAGTATTTATTTAATATGAACATTTTGTGTAATTAGCTAGAAATATGCAATTATTATGCATTTTGATGCAAAAAAAAAATTAATAATAGCATAATCTACGTATAACGAAATGAAACAAAGATACTCAATTAGAATTATTATAAGTCAAATGTAGAATATGCATTTGCAAAAAATTCGGGCCATAGTTATAACTATATATAATTTGAATTTTTTGTTTATATAATGCCCCTGAACAGGACTATGATTTACTATCTGGAAGTTAAAAATTGTATGAAATTAATTTAAAACTCAATATGAAAAATGTCAGACAATAATTAACTATCCCTATGTTTTTGGATAATTTATGTAGGTCAGAAAATTACTAAACAACTAATGTAAACTTTAGTGTATTAATAAAATAATCTATTGGACAAGTTGTTTATGGGACAAATCAAATCACATATTGATTTCATGAGTGTTGAGCTTTTCAAAGGCTTCAACATAATACGGTATGGTATCAACATGATAAAGCATTGACAAAATTGGATTAACCAAATTTGATATTGCACTAAATTCAAACAAATATAATAAAATTGATAACATTTTTCAATTATAATGATAACAATATTTAAAACCCAGCCTCTTTCAATTGCTTTAATTGATAATTCAGTCTGTCTTCTTTTGCCTTCCTTGTATATGACACCTGAATAAAATCAAAATAATATTACTAAAATATGATCTTCTGAAAATTTTTTTAAAATATTAATTGTGTTTGTTTTTAAACTTACAGTTCTTGATTTTACATACACTTGTAAAAATTTATCACAATCTATATCACCATTTAAAAACTGTTCGGCTATTCGTTCACTTTCCTCGTCACATTTCAATGCCGCTTTTTTTAAATTATCCTGAAAGGGTAATTATTACAATATTTTTAGTGAATAATTGCCATTGATTATACTTATACATAGGTATTTGATGCTTTACCGAAATTGATTGTGGAGAATATTTCTCTGATAACTTAACATACTTAGTTGAAAGTCCAGCATATGATTTTTGATAGTTTTCTATTGTTTCTAATTGTTTTGATATTTCTAATTTTAAATTATTTATTGGTTCTTCTTTAGACATGTTTGAATCTAAAAATATTAAAAACCAAATAATTTTATTTTCAAAAACATATTAGTTAGCTATAATACTATAATATGAGTGTTTTTACTTGCTAAGTCCATAATTTTTGTGATAGTATTTTCAATGTTTTTATTAGATGCTTCAATTGATGGTAATTCTGAAATGAATTCATCTAGGCAATCAACATTATTATTTAAACGTAGTAATTCAGCTGATGTTAGTTTTGCAAGACTAAAAAATTCAACATCCTAAAGGAGAAAAAAATTTAAATTATTGAAAATTGCTGATAAAATATGCTTGGACTTACATTACTGAGAGATGTAATTGCATTTTTGACAGAACCAATGGCGATATTCCCTGAAAATCTTTTGATAAATCTATGTGTAAAATTTTAGTTTAGGTCAGATTTTATTGAATATAAATTACCCATCATTATTGATACCATTTGCCAGTGTAAGTGATTGGTCTAATTCAAACTCTCTTCTTATCACCTGTACTACTCTCCCCAAATCAGAGTGAATAGTGTACTGTAAAAATACCATATAAAATTAGTTATAAATGAAAGTAAGACTGCTGTAACATTCTTACATTCATCAATCCAGGAGCTAGAACAATTTCACCAGTAGTGTCCACCCATTTGTGTGTAATTCGAGGGCAAATTTTCATAGTGGGCTTCTCAAAAGGAAATTTTGGACCCAAATCAATGACCAGGCTCAAATTCCCAGCTTTAGTAGGAAATTCAACAGAGTATTCTTTATCAAAATTAATTTCTGTAACACTAATTTACATTTATGTTATAGGATTACACACAGCTAATATTCTGGAATCGCCATGTTTGCTTACTTTTCATTAAAAACTTTTAACGTATCGATTTGTTGTTCACGTTTTCTGGCTAGGTCGATGTTGTTATACAAGTTTGTGGAAAGCATTTTCAACAATTTGGTCACTGGAAGTTGTATACTATCAATACACAAAATAGTGTACTTAACATTAAATTTATTAAAGGACCAAATTTGTATAGAATCCGTAGCTGATCAGTGTACGCCTTCAGTCCCGCGCGATCAGTTTTTAAATAAGAAGAGAATGAAATAAAAATAATGTCTTCACAAAAAAAAATGTTACTAGCGATTTGTATTTGTTTTGTATCATGATTTTAGGTAGGTATTCAGTACTCACTATTCTAATTCTAGTGATAATAAGCAGTAGAATCACAGAATTCTACCTATAATATTATTCTGTTATAACATAGATAATAAAGATCTTTTCTGTGGTAACTTTACTATTGATAATACATAATTAATATTGTTAACAATAAAAAAATCATGCTGTTGATAAAAAATTTGATAACAGTATCAAATTTTAAATTTGTAGTAAACAATTGCCAATTAGTTATACAATTGTAAATTGTTATAACTTTTAAACAATTACAAATACAGAAATAATTTTTTTTGTCATGCAGAATGATTTGATTTACATTCTTTAACTCTACCACTCTTTGACAGTAATAATAGTAAACATTAAAAATATACACTTGTGTATAATTTAATCTCACTAAATAGTAGTTTAAATTGGAAAAAATTCAGCCATGTTTACATGATTAACATTCGAAAACATTTATGATGGACGTATATCACGCACCGCAATACTTACCCGACTTGGTGTTGGACATAATATTTTCAAATCTGGAACTGCCCGACTTGTTTAGCTGCATGTTGGTCTGTCAAAATTGGTATCGAGTAATTAATGATGGCAGAGCCGAGCCATGGAAATTGATGTGTCGCCGTAAGATACCCAAAGACTTGCTGAAGTCTGAACTTTTGTCACAACTCCACAACTATAAAGATAAGTTACGGGCTTTATATCATTCATGGAACCCAGACGATTGTTCCATGCACATTGTCGTTAAACAAAATGGTTTCACATTGCATCGCAATCCAGTCGCCCAGAGTACAGATTTGGCACGAACTAAAATTGGTTACAACAACGGTAAACACGTTTGGGAAATTACATGGACTGGACCACTAGGTAAAAGAATATTCATAATTCATAAAATATTAAACATTTTATTGGAAATGTAAATTATTTTGTTAACAGGTACAGTTGCAATGGTTGGCGTGTCAACAAAAGAGGCTCCAGTGCATTGTAGTGGTTACTTACCTCTGTTGGGTATTGACAAGCATAGTTGGGGTTGGAACTTAATCGATAACGTTTTATTACACAATGGAGTATCACATGGAAACTATCCCTTGTTAAACAATGCTCCTAAGTACCAAATTGGTGAAAAATTACAATTAGTACTAGATTCTGAAAACGGTATTTTGCACTTTGAAAAATGCAATGAATTTTTAGGTATAGCTTTTAAAAATTTACCTAAAACTAAATTATATCCTTCAGTGTCAGCTGTTTATGGTAATACGGAAATATCAGTAGTATATATTGGTAAGCCTCTATATGGTTAAGTAAACATAGTTTTTGTTGAAAATTCAATCTCATAGAATATAAAATACTGTTTAACATAAGGTTTAAATTCCTTTGTTTTGTCATTTTAGTTCAACAATATCATACATTTCCTGTTATAGCTAATAATATTTGGTATGGACATTAATCATACAAGTGATAATTTATTTAAAAAAATATTTTAAGTATTTGAAGCTCTTTTGATAGTGGTTAGGGTGATGATGTTTACACATTGAAATATTTAGTTCAAGTATTTGTTGATAATTATATTCAATTGTATTACAAAAATAATAAGTTATTTAAAATTCATAATTAAAAACAACAAATAAATATCTTTTTTTGTTTAAATGATAAATTTATATTTTGCTTACCAAGGATGGCAAACTTTTTTCAGGTCACATGCTAAAATTTTATAATCTGTTTAAAAAATTAGTACAAGTTAAATTATGTTAAAAATACTATTTTCTACTTTCTAGGATGATCTCCTCAAGCCTCAATAAATATCTCCCATAGATAGAAATGTTCAAACATAAAGTATTTATGACCGTTTTTTTATTATTTCTTTAATGTTGCATCATAAATTTACAACTACATTTAGCGGGGTAGCTATCATATGGTAAAATGGGACCTGCAAACCAGTGAAATAATAAAGAATTTTTTTAACTATTTTTTATTAAATACAATATTTAACAAAGAAAGAAAAAATATGTGATATGTGTTTGTCACCCCCTGTCATATACTATCTTTTTTATCGTTTTAATATTAGATATTTTATTGCTGGTAATTCCATTTCAAAAAAATGTTCATACCAAAAATTAATATCTAGCATAGTAAAATTATATCATAATAATTTGTTGGATAATTTTGTCCAAGACCTATTAAATTATTTTGAGGATTAATTATTAAGTTGTTTGATATACTTGGTAGCTTTTACATACATTAATTGACACTCTTTAAACTTTATCTTTTTAATAATTACAATAGGTGCACAATTTTTTAGAACAATAACAATAATTATTAATATTAGTTACTAAAATTACTTAAGAATTATATATTCATGTGGTTATGTAGATATTGTGAGGGGCGAACCTAGCGCCCCATACATCCCCACAATACTTATCCTCCTTTTTTTATTTCTATTTGAGGGTAATGAGTATTTTTTTCATAATAAGTTTTAACTTATAAAATAAAAAAACATTTTGACAGCTTAATGATGAAATAGCTCCAACAAGTTGTCCTGGATCAATTTTAATAGTGGCTAAACTTCAAACTTTGCCCCCCTTCCCAAATAAAATCATCTTCGGTACACCCCTTAATATTTCATTATCATATTTTATTATAAGTGATATTTTTATTCTTTTACATAATAGTATACCGTTTATAGTATTTAATATTTAAAATCAAGAATTAAGCAATTTACTGATTTTAATTTAAAATACTTAGTTTCACTTTATTGCAACTCACACATTTTCAATGGCTAAAATTAAATATTTTAATTTATAGATAAATGTATAGCTGTTTTTAAACGTTTGAAATTATAAAAATTAATATATATATATTATTGGTATAAGTTCTTTTTGTCATGTATGGAATAAAATTCATTTTTGGTTTATAATTTAATAGTATGATTAGTGTTTAATTGTTTTACTAAATTTACTTTTTGTTGAATACTTCCTATAGTTAAGTTTTTTCCTGTTATTTGTGTTATTTTAAACTAATTAAACAATTATTGTAAGATATTTAAATATATTTTAAATAAAAATTCTTCTTAATATTTTTTAACAATTCGTATTGTTCTAATATTCTTTATTTTCAGAAATATACTTAACCTAACCTCACTGTAACGAATGACCAGATGTTTGTATACACATTTGAATATGTAAGTATACAATAGTATAGCTTATATCTTAATTTGTCGTTAAATCAAACAACTTCTTAGAGTGATATCATAGACTCACTATTCAATTTAAGTTTGAATTAATACATAGTGGGTACCACTACCCATGGGCCACAAAGTTGAGGTTTTGGGAAGACTTATATTCTTTACATAGTTTACAATTCTACATCACTACACCTTGCTGATATCTATGTCTACAACTACTAGCTAGCCTTCGTCTTAAAGGCTATGGATTACAAGTAAAAAATATATTAGCCTGGACAATAAGGAGGACAGAGGTATCATTAGTCTGGAGCCCATATCTTCCTACAAAATTTCAAAATATTTTTTTAATGTACAATTTTAAAATATATTTAAAAAAATTAAATAAATAATATTCATTATAGCAAAAATTAATTTTATTTTAGTACAAGGTTTTCCCTGTTCATTTGATTTATGTAGATGACCTTGCAGTTCAGCTGCATAATATGCGAATAGGTACAACATTGTCTACTAAGTACTTTAATACTAAACTATGTATTTACATACATATTGTTATATAATGGAGTATTATAGTCATAAGACAAGCATTTTTTTCCACTGGTTCTACAAAACCACAGAAAAGTCAGTAAATATTATGTTATCTTGTGATTTAAAAGTTATTAGTTTCAAATAAATATCAATGACATTTTTAAAAAATATATAAATTATTACTCAATGGAGGTTTTGAGATTGAAAATGATGGTGATCACATTTCAGTTTTTAAAAGGAGGAGCAAAAGTTTTGACCAGCCCATATAACGGTTAAGTTAAGTACTATAGAACTGAAACCAAAAAACAGATTGCTTCGCTCGGAAGCTTATTTCCAATTGCATAACTGAATTTTAACTCAATACACTTCCAATCTTACATAACTATCACGTGTCTGAGGCAAAAATAGATTAATTTAGAAGCAAAATAAAAACGAGTGTAAGAGCTAAATAATTATGCTACATAGGTATACTTATCTATGGGTACCTCAGTGGCATTATTTCTAGAAAGGCCGAATAATTTAAATTACCGTATGAAAAACGGCTACTAATACATACATGAAAAACTGAAATATTTTAAATAAGTAGCGAGTGTCTTTTTTAAAATCATGTATACATTTAAGAGTGTAGGTATATATTATCGTTTTGTTTTTGGAATTTCTATAGTATCATTATCTAATATCTATATTTTTGAACTAAAAACTATAGATAGGTACCAATAAATTATTAATGTAACAATAGTTTCTAGTGCTTACACAATATTATATTTTATCAAAACTAGAAAAATATTAATCATGTTATTTCCCCAACAATTGGACTGTTTTTATAATCAGACATACCCGACTAGCTAACCACACAAATGACGCCACCGGATCAATTCCAACTTTGGGACTTGGTTAGTGGTTACTTACTTTTTATATTTAAACATTAAAAGATAATAATTTTAATTTTGTATTTTTTGAACTTCCAGTAGAAACTTTTACGATTCAACTTCAACAATTACATAATTAAATTTATACAGTTAATAAATAAACGTGAAAGTAAAAGCTAATTTAATAATTTATTATTATCAGTAAATATTATAAGAGTTTTAAAATATGAGTTTAATAACAATAGTAAAAAGGTACTTAAGTTAGTACCTATGCTTGGATAGTCTTCGATAAGTATAGGAAAGCAATTTTGTGCCAGGGAATAGTGTACACCAAGAATTTAAATTTTATCGAAACTAAGTAGCCAATAGCTAATAGGAACTGTTATCCGCACTTATCCATCATAATTTATAGGCGCAATTTCAATCGTTCTATTATGGGTGGGCCATTGAATTTAAAATTTTGAAAAAAATGGCCGCCAATAAAATAGCGGTTATTACGAACCGACCTTGATTAATATTGATAACGACTTCACCATGGAATCGACGATGATAAGTGATAATAATATTATTTTATCATTTATCACCGGAACCGAGTCATAGACATGACAGGACGGGGCGACGGAACTATATAGCTGCTGGTGCCGCAGGCTGCAGCCAGCCCCGGTCCACCGACCAATGGAAACGGTCAACCGGCAGCGTTTCACCTGTTCTGCGTACTGCCGCGCGCGTGCGTTCTAACCACGGCGATTAACATTGAAATATCACGATTCCAACCGTTTTTCTATTATTATTGTTCACCTCGTCACCGTTGCCGTGTGGGTGCGCGCGCCGACCCGAGACTCGCACAATAATAAATGCAATGCATACAGTTGGCGGTGTGTGAGCGAGAGAGCGTGCGGTGCGTGCGTGCGCGTGTACGTTTCTGTTCGTTATTATTATTATTATTATTATTTCTCCCCGTTCGGTTTACGTTTTTTCTTGCTCGTTTCGTTAGTTAACAGTTTCTTCGGTCCGTCGTACTCTTTTTGCTCCTCGTATCGTTCGTGGTTCGTTTATACGTGGGTAAGCCTACATCTGTTGACAATTATAATAATAATCGTTACGGTTTTCCGTCGATCTCGCTATCACGTTTCAGTTCGATCGTTTTCGAATTCGTCGTCGTCGTTTTTCGGATTTTCGCTTGCAAGTGTTTGTCCGTCGTGTGTTACCGGCGGGCTCTGAAATGATCGCATGGAAATAATCTTCAATTACACCCCACGATGTCGGCAGCGAACGGAACCGGACAGAACAACCACAACAATAATAACTGTGATCTCGAGGAGGAACTCGTGAAAGCGCAAAGTGAGTGTACGCGCGTTAACTTTTTTTAATCGGTAGGTCAGTTAGGACGCTCGTCGTAACTACGCAAATTGTGTTTACATATTGTCGCAGTTCAAGTCTTAACGCGTTACAGTGCAGATAAGGTTTTCGGGGGCACTACCTAATGAATACTAAATTGTTCAGTCCCCTCACAACTGTCAAGCTGACTTTAGGAGATGGTCATCGAAAACAATTGACGGTTTATAATTAATTAACACTTCTTATTAATATGTATCTATCAACCTAGTTGAATTCCAACCCATCATTTTCTTTTAATGTTAATTTATTGTTATATATCAGCGATAATTACCTGGTTCTTTTCTGTTTTACAATTTGTTTAAAAAGAAAAACTGAGAAATGTATGAAATAAAAAATTAAAATTAAAATAAACGTTTAATCTATTTTGGTCGTATTCGTACCTTCGATAACTAGGCTAAGTTGAAGACCCTATTCGTAGGTCATGTGTTAAACTGTATCCCCTCGTGTGATTGTTGGAAATATCCCAATTTATATTTTTCCACTTGTCAAGCAGAATGAAAAAACATGTGAGCTGGACACTGAGTGTTGCTAATTATTTTTAGAATAGGTATATTTTGTTAAGTCTAGAGAGCTACTATTTTAGTGACATATGACATATTATTTAAATGACACATAATCAGAAGAAAATATTTGTTTTAAATGTTTATGTATTGCTAGGTGTATTATGTAAAATCACCAAACTTAAATTAAAAGATACCTAGGAGATACCTTTGGAGTTTTGTTGGAAGCCTTATTTAAAAGTATTACCTAGAACATTTTTAATAACAATTATAATCTAGTACTAAATGTAAAGCTTTCGTTTAGAGCAAGTTAAAAAAAATTTGTTTTGTGTATGTACCTGTGTGCAGGTTATAAAATGTAGGAATCTATATGTAATAAACAAATTTATAAAAATTATTATTTGTATTTACTAAAATAATTGTTTTTAGTTTCTTTTATGACTATTCTAAGGTTTAATTGTTGGTGTAAAATGAGTTTTTTACGGTGTTTTTCCTTGAAATTTGAACCATATATATCGAACAAAAATACCCTCGAAAATACCTAATAAATTGTAATACGTTGTAATATGATAAAAAAAGAAAATTACCTAAATAGCTAATATGTATACTTTCAGTTATACAAAAATGTGTTGATAGGTATGTAAGTCTTTAGGTAGGTACCTAAGTACTGTTAAGAATTTATATTTTTATATCGGTGGATAACTAATGAGATAACCTAAATTCTGGTGGGAAATCGATAACTTTTTTATGTTTATAATTATTTTAAAAGACAAGGTAAACAAAATCCATACAACAATTTGAACAATTTGCCTAACATATTAGGTACCCTCCTATGTTGATGTAGAATATGTGTTACAAGGTATTATTAGGTTCTATTTCTTTAAAAAAGAATAAATTATGGATGTAAATAAGAATGATTTGTATATCTTTAATTTATTGTGAAATGTGCTATGAATTAATATTATAATATAAGGTATCTATCTATTTTAAAAAAAAGACTACACAAATAATATAAGTATAGGTATTTGACCATGAAATGTCAGGTTGAAACAACAGTAATAGCTGATTAACTTAAAAGTATTGTAAATAATATTTTGTTCAATTTCATTCTATAACAAGTCTT